ATCATGAAAAGGTTCTCTAAACAAGCTATTAACCTAACCATCTGAATCAACGACGTAACTCTAAACACCTGCAAAAGATTCCTGAGGCTTTTAAAAACTCCCAGCCTTGTTCATTACTCAAAACCGCAATCATGGGTAAGACTGCCGACCTGACTGCTGCCCAGAAGGCCATCATTGACACCCTCAAGCAAGAGGGTAAGACACAGAAAGAAATTGCTGAACGAATAGGCTGTTCCCAGAGTGCTGTATCAAGGCACCTCAGTGGGAAGTCTGTGGGAAGGGAAAAGTGTGGCAGAAAACGCTGCACAACGAGAAGAGGTGACTGGACCCTGAGGAGGATTGTGGAGAAGGGCCGATTCCAGACCTTGGGGGACCTGCAGAAGCAGTGGACTGAGTCTGGAGTAGAAACATCCAGAGCCACCGTGCACAGGCGTGTGCAGGAAATGGGCTACAGGTGCCGCATTCCCCAGGTCAAGCCACTCTTGAACCAGAAACAGCGGCAGAAGCGCCTGACCTGGGCTACAGAGAAGCAGCACTGGACTGTTGCTCAGAGGTCCAAAGTACTTTTTTCGGATGAAAGCAAATTTTGCTTGTCATTCGGAAATCAAGGTGCCAGAGTCTGGAGGAAGACTGGGGAGAAGGAAATGCCAAAATGCCAGAAGACCAGTGTGAAGCACCCACAGCCAGTGATGGTCTGGGGTGCAATGTCAGCTGCTGGTGTTAGTCCACTGTGTTTTATCAAGGGCAGGGTCAATGCAGCTAGCTATCAGGAGATTTTGGAGCACTTCATGCTTCCATCTGCTGAAAAGATTTATGGAGATGAAAATTTCATTTTTCAGCACAACCTTTAAATCTTTTCTGGAGGTCCTCCTGACTCAGTGAGGAGAACATATCTTAAAGTCGCTTTATTTTAAAAAAAATAAATTTCCCTTAGATTTTAAGGCCCTTGTTATTTAATTATGTCCATAAACAGAAACAGGAAAGCAGCAGTAACTTGTCAAAAATAAAGTAGTGACAATTAAAAATAAAGAAACTTTCAGAAGGTTTATTCAAGAAATTCTACAGTGATATAAATAAAAGTGGTTACAAGTGGTCTTCAGTACCTTGCTTGATGAGAGCACTGTTGTCGAAATGTCTAAACATCTACAAATTCCCATTAGAAAAAAAAATCCATTTAGAAGTATCATATGTACATATTTATATACATCAGGTAAAGAGAAAAAAAAAATCATACCTCATTGTACAAAGTTTTCATCGTCGGCACCAATAAGATTAATTTTGATGATTCACGACATTTTAAACAGTCTTGTCTAAATTATAATAGTTCAAAATGTTCATTAATAAATTTTAAAAAGAGTAGATAAACTCTTCAGATTATAAAGTCAAAAAATGAGAACGTGACACTTGGAACAAAGACATGTCTCTACCATGTTCTGCTAAATCAGCATGATGAGACTGTTTAAGATCGTTTGTCTCTCCCCCCAACACAGCTGCTTAAAACTGAACCCGTTCCCATCATGCTTTGCCTTTTCTCTCCACTGCTGGTCAGTTTTATTAGCTCCAATAAATTTCATGCACAGACGTCCGACAAATTATAAGCAACATTTAATTTAAATAAAAAACTAACCCTGAAAAAAGATTATGAAAGCAAGTTACAACACTCAGAACAAAGAAAACTAACTAAACATTTGGAAGTGCTTTGTGTTAAGTGGTAAAGTTTTACAGAAGGAAAGTTCCTGGTTCAAATCTCAGCTGTTTGTGTTTTTCCTTTTTTTTTTTTTTAAAAAAAAAGGACAGGAAATGTTTTAAAGTCCCAGTGGGCTTTGCTTTAATTTCTGTCCAGATCTTGTTTCTTTGCAGACTGTAAGACTAATTTACAAGCAGTGAAAGTGTTATTAAAAAATAAACAAATGTAACAGTTACAGAGAACCAGTAGAGATGCTGGAACAGGTTGAAATGAAGCCATTTAGGATTAGAAAAAAATAACTTCAGAAATCTGAGCTGCCTCAGGCTTAAAACAGCTTAAAGTTGTGATTTCAGTTTGTAAAGATCATTCATTCATCTATCTATCCAAAAAATGTACCTCCTTTGCTCTTTTGAGTGCAGTGTCTGTATTTCTATTATATCAATCTTTGTGATTAAAGGGTGTCGGAAACAAGCGGCAGATGGAAAAGAAGCTTCAAGATGGCTGCTAAACAACTAAAAGTTGAGTCAGAGAATAGTAACATATTGTGGTTTTGGTGCATTATATTTGTATTTTTTCTTTGATTAAATAATTGTCTATTATTGTCAAACTATTTGTTTTGCATTTGTCAAACCTTTCCACGTGCTGTGCTGAAAGTTAGTGGCTGCCAACAATCCTGACCTGCACTGTAGCTCGACTGTCAGGGTTTGGGTTTGGCTGACGTTTAAGCCACGTCTTTTTAAGGCTTGAAGTGAAAACAAAAAACTTCAAAGCCAAAAAATGTTTTAAAAAAAATTGCTCAAATTCTGTCACCTTACAAACATTTCTCTCCACAGGAAAAGAACCGTGTGAGGCTACATTTTGTTTTTGAAAACTGTACACTAACAAAAAATATACAACAACAACACTGCTGTGCCGTTAAATGAGAACACAGTAATTAAAAAAATAAGTAATTAAATGTGACTGAAATGTGTTTTTTCAACTCAGTGCAGTTCATTGGCACTCATGGTCACTCACAGGGTGACTGGGTGATCCGATTCTAACTTGGCTCAGGTTCGACTTCTCCTTCCTGATTTCATCACCCACATTATTAGTGCAGCAGTTAAGAGGCATCAGACAACTGGTCAAACCCTAAGTGCCATTGCCTGTCACATTGGTGCAGTCTGGTGAGGAAGCTGTTGGAGTTAACAGCTGCTCTGTGGTCTGGACCGGGTCTTTAGGCCAGTAGAGTTGATGCAGTTCAGCTGGAAGAGGGATTCCCAGCTCCTGGTTCAGAGAAAGAGCTTCAAACCAGTCCTCAAGCTTCTGGAAAGTTGGCCTTTGGAGAGAGGAGGAAAGAAACAAAAAACATCAGCGAGGGCAAACAGAAGGTTGTAAGGTTAGAACCAGACGGACGAGGTTGAGAGAAACACGAGGAAGCAATCTGGCTGCAGAGGCATGTCCGTGTGAAAGCAGGTCCAGATGGAGGCTGAAAGTGCTTATTTTGGTCTGTGTTTCAGCCCTGAGGTGCAACTGCACCGGACTAAACACACCAAATAAACAAAAGTGCAAGACAGAAAATAAAGCAAAAATTCAAACTGGTATGGACACAAACAAAACAACAGAGAGGGGCAAAGTTTCAATGACATTCCACAATCTGTTGCAAATTTAAAAAAAAAAAAAAAATCTAAAGCGGAGCAATGAAATTGGATTTGATATAATTTCTGTTGAATTTGACCTGACTGAACATTGTTGGATGTATACCTGGATTAATGAGCATGAACTTTGGTATCATTTCTGTTGTGTTTTGACCAAAGCTTGTCAGCTCGTTTCATTTAGAGCTCAGGGTACTGTCAACATCCACAGCCTGTTAGAAGTTAAGTGGAAGCTGTTACCCATTGTCTGAACAACAGCACATGCTCACCGGATGTCTGGCGAGAGATCACAACACGCCACGGCGAGAGAAAAGAACGCTGGTGGACAGTCTTCAGGGAGAAACTTCTCCACAAACTTCACAACATTTAGGCCAAAGTCCAGAGTCCTGGGGAGGCACTCAGGGTCCGCGTAAACCTTCCCAATGATCTGATTCATAGAAAAACTAGTTAATGAAAAATGTCTGTAAAATACACGTATCCTAAAACTGAAATTGGTTCACACAACAACATTTTAGGTCTTCAGGAGTTAAGTTTAGTGTTTAAACTTTTTGATAATAAAAAATGAGTTTCCATTCAGAGGTGAGATAAAAGCAGATGTTTGACCTCACCTCACAAAGAACGATCCCAAACGAAAAAACGTCCACTTTTTCATCATAGCGTTTACCTGAAATGACAGCAAAGATAAAGCACGTCTTCTCTGAATGTTTCCTCCTCTCTACATTAGTTCACTTTTTTTTTTTCCTTCAGCTGTTGTGGATAACCTCTGTCCATCCGTGCACACTGTGAGCATAATAACTTGGAAAAATAAGTGAGGTACTGACTTCCTGTTTGGTGTGTGGCTACATCTAGGCATAAGGGTTCATTTTGAAAATTTGGGTTGCCAAGTCAGAATTTTAACATGTGTGTGTGTAAATGTACCGTATTTTCCACGGTACCTTGCACACCGCCCTACAAGTCGCATCAGTCCAAATATGTCTAATAAAGTGGAAAAATCTATAAATACGTCGCTTTGCCGTATACGTCACATCTATTATGCATCACCGCTGACAACCCAGAAATGTGGGCTGAACCTGTAAGCGTGGGCCGGTGTTGTGCCAAAAATCAATTGGCTGCCAAATGGCGGCTGCGGGAGCGTGCACGGGAGGACTTTAATAAGAATTTAACAAGATTAACACTTAAGAACAATTATTTGTTTGCTTGAAATTATAGTAAGTGTGTCTCAGTCTAACTTTTCCTTAATAAATGCACTTGGACAGTCAAATCAGCTACATTTTCAAAAGCCGATACGCGGAAACATGAATGCGCAGAGGGATGACTTGCTGTCATTTCTTCAAAATTTAACAAGATAACAACCTAAAAACAATTATTTGTTAGCTCAACTTTATAGCAAAGGTATGTCTCAGTTGAACTTTTACTTAATAAATGCACTTCAATGGTTAAATCAGCTTCATTTCGCCGTGGCGGTGCAGCGAAATGAAGCTGATTTGACGGTTACACCAGGCAGACCAAGGTGGCAGCTATGGGAAGCCGATTGTGTCATGAATAGCCACGTTTACAGACTACATGATACAACGGCATGCCATACTGCTCGACCACCATCTAATGGCTGAAAATGGTAGTGTTCAATATCTTCAGTAAGAGTGAATGAAAACGGTCATATCTCAGCCATTGGTTTATAAATATGGGAACAAATTCATAAATACGTCGCTTTGGCCTATAAGTCGCAAGGCATGAAAATTATGCAAAAAGCTGCAACTTATAGGGCAAAAAATATGGTAAATGCAAACCAACCACCCCTAACATTTGACTAAGCTATGCTTTTTAGTTTTTATATTGCTTAGAAGTATAAATTCCTCAAATGACTGGGTTGGACCTTGGGGTGCCCAAATAATCTATGGCGGCCAAGGCCACCCCCTGGCTCCACTATCGCACCTGGTCAAATTGCTCCCTCTGCTCAACAAGATCTGTCACTTGGAAAATGCATAAAACTAGCACTGTTCTTACACACACTTGAATAACTTGCACCAAAAACATTAAGGTTTACTTGCACTCCCTGCTCAATTCCAGTCCAGAAATACACTCCTCTCGAAAGCTATGAACATTCACTATTCAAATCCCTCAACGACGGGGCACATCGACGTCTTCTTTTCCCTTCTAACGACTCACCATTTAGCATCTCTGGAGCCATCCAGTAAGGGTTTCCCACAACAGTGTACCGCTTCTTTCGGTCAATGCGTCTGAACACCCTTTTCTTGTTGGAAGGTTTTTCAGGAGGAGGTTTAACTTTGTCCTCTTTGATGAGTCGAGAGAGTCCAAAGTCTGCAACGACGACGGTGTTGTCCTGCAGAGAAAAGACAACAGATTACGAAATGTCCGAAGAGAGAAAACAGCAGCAATCAAGGAGTGACAAATAATCTAAATAAGGTTGGAGGAGATGTTTGTAATCATAGTGACTCTGAGGTGCAATTTATTTGTTTAGGGTGTTGTGAAGCTTTGTAATATCTTGTGTTTTGCGCAACATAATATTGCAATAATTTAGCATTATCTTGATTCCATGTAAATATTATTAAATGCTTTGCAAATAGTCCCGTTAAGATCAACACAAGCTTTTAATCACTTTACAAAACAACAATAGTTCATCCTCACTACTGTGAACATTTTCTGCTGTCATGGATGATGAAACATCACGTACCAGTTTAACCAGGCAGTTGTGAGAATTGAGGTCTCTGTGGATGATCCTCATTGAATGAAGGTAGGCCTAAAAACAAACAAATTAAAAAAGCAGATTTGTAAGTCACATTTTTGTGTGACAAAATCTATGAGATTTGATTGCAACTAATAAACCAAGATATCAAACATCTGCTAACCTTTTCAAAATATATGAACTTAAATAGTTTTAAGCAAAAACATTTTACTCTTAGGCCCCTTTGTACTGGCTCTAACTTCCATTAAATAAGTAAAAAAGTCAAAAGTTTCATTTAAAACAGTAATAAAAGGACAACTCACCATGCCAGAGGCGATGCTCTTAGCAAAGCTTACTCTTTGTTCCCATGGAAACACATCCTGTTAGTCCAAAATAAAAATGAAAGGTTTACAGGCCATATAAGTGAGGCAAGTATTAACCTTATTTTGGAATGATTTTAATAATGGAAGCTAAATAGGGTTAATATACAATATAATTATAGGGTTAATAAATAAATAAAAATAAATGACAAAACATAATTTAAACTGGCCTGCCTCATCATGCATAAAATCTTCCAGATGAAAAAATACTCCTCTCAAAACTAACAAATTGTGAGAGGATAAGAACTGCTTCACTTTCTATATCTTCTCCCGTTCATCTTTAAACTCGTTGACATGTCAGGTTGCCAGTTATCAAGTTTACTCCACGTCTCTCATCCTACAGCACTCTGAGCTCTTGTTGGTCTCTGCTGTGGAAAAGGAACTAGAACGAGTTGAACTCACCATGTCTCTGATGTAATCCTTCAGCGTGCCTCCCTCGATGTACTCAGTAATCAGATTGAGCTTTTTGTCTTTGTACAGCACACCGATAAACTTCAGAACGTGGGGGTGATCGAGGCTTCGCATCACTTTGACCTGAAATTTGGGCGTGTGACAGAAAACAAGAAGGTCCTCATTATGACAAGCAAGTTATCCTTAATCAATTCCTGGCAACTGGGAAGTTTAATCCACAACAAAAAGGACTAAATACAAATCAAACTAATGTGTTCCCACAAGACGAACGGGGCAACCTCAGAATAACAAAGAGCTGATTGTTGTAGTGTGTAGTGTGCTTTCAGTTGTGAATATTGACCGAGACAGTTCTGTCTGTGAGAGATCACAGCTCCCCTACTGCTGATTACTAACCTCCTTTAGGAAAGTTTTCTGCGTCTCTTCGTCGCAGCGGATCAACTCCTTCATCACCATCACCTCTCCTGTAGCTTTGTGAGTCACCTGTGAGGAACACGCGTCATTTGAAGCTCAGAGTACTGAAAGATGGATATAACGCCTGGTGAAAAACTGACGGCTCACCTTGATGGCCTGCCCAAAGAAGCCTTTTCCTAAGACTTCTCCGTGGATGAGGTCACACGGTCGGAAAATGCGATGAGAGCAGCTACTGGAGGATCTCAGAGACTCAGAGCGTCCGATGTCTCTTGTTATTAAAGGCGACTCTTTGGGTGAATTTGGTCCAGGAGACTTACACGTACTGTTACTACGCCTGAAATAAAATTAAAAAGGACATTTTAAAAGTTGTGCACACTTTTTTCTCATCGGTTACAGATGACGTTACGTTTCAGATGCTCCAACGCACCTCAAAGACCTCCTTTTCAGCGTGCTGTCTTCAACCTTGTCCGTTCTCTCCAGGACTGTGTCAGACGGCGAGGACAGACGCATACGGGACGTGGCTGGGACTTCTAGCCGGTTTCTGGGCGATCCCAGTCTGAGCCGGTCCAAACGCTGCCTGACTGGGTCGTACTCTATGAGCAGCTGCAGCGTGTGACTGGTACGATGAATGAGATCATCCACCTACATGAGACGAGATTTTCAAGATTTTCTAATTAATTTCTCACAGAAACGTTTCCCACCTCTCCCAGGACTTTCCATCATATTAATTATTTTTAATGCAAAAGAAGAGCAACGCTCATCACTAAATCAGAACGTGTGATGAAAATATAAACGCACCTTCTGTTCTAATGAGGTCATCAGCTTTCTCTGGTATCATTTATGTCAAAAATAATATTATAGAATTTCACAATCATGGCCCAAAGTTTAGACAATAGACATTGTTTTGCAGACTTTGTAGCTTCAGTATTTGTGTTTATAATAATTCACCAATTTTAGAATTTTGGGCAGATTTATCATATTAAATTCACTGGGAACACCCCCCCCCCCAACCTATTAGCTTAAAAAGGTTACTTTATAAAACCCACTCTAGACAAATCTTTGGCCTTGGCAAACTATTATCAGCTTAACTTCATTTCTGTATATTCACAACAACAGAGACTTGTGCCAAGGGCAGCTAATCAGCCACTTCTATTCAAGAAAAATACCAGGAACAGACTAAAACTTTGCAGGAAGCAGTTTTTATCTTTCATCAATCTATCCAATTTTTTGGGACGTCTGGAATATCACTTGTCCTGCTTTGTGCCAACAGCAAAGCAATTTGATACAATCCATGTGTCGAGTTGCTTCTCATCCAAAACACAGTCTTACTCACGGTTCTTCTCACAAACTCTGCTATAAATAGAAAGTGGTATCAAAATGTTCTTAAATGCTACATTTTCTAGCAATGCAAGCACAGTTTGTTGATCCGTGTAGTTTCCAAGAGGATGAGGCACCGAGTCACAAGGCAAAAGGGAAAACAAAGTGACTCTAAGCTCTAAAACAGTGGAGCCTAAAGTCCAGGTTGGTATATTGCTGGGCGTCCCAAAACATCAAGGTGGGGTCTTCAAAAGACTTTTAGCAATAAATCCATTTTAAAGTGACTGCTACATCATTTTACCTTAGCTGTTCCAGTAGTTAGTGTAGTAGATAAAGTAGTCTAGTGAATGTTGAACTATGTTCTTCATTTGACCAAATTTCTATGTTTTCCAACCAACAACAGTTTGGGTCACAGGTCTCTGCTATTGTTATTTTGCAGGTCGAAAACAGAAAAGTTTCGAAACCACTTCTTTAAAATATCGAAATTCTTCACTTTTAATTTATAATAAATTATTATATTATTATTAATAAATTTGAACTTTTCTAGATTTGACCCTTATTGAGAACTTGTCAAAAAGCAGGTGGAAAAGATCAGAATGAGTCACCACTAGTTTGGATTTGGTCCAGAAGTTGATATTGAGCAACTCTTTGCATAGAAGGTATTTCAGTGTATTTGCTGAGAAACACCTTAATACACAAGTTGTCATTCATCATAGCTTAAAACATGTAAAAATACATACTGAATTCATAAAACATCATTTGTGCCACAGCCAAAACATTTGGCTCTAACTGTGCAAAAAATAAAACGGTTTGATTTGCTCATAAATAGACTTATTTAGAGTGGCCATTAAACCGTCAAAATATGATGCGATTAAAACAATGACTAAATACACACTTTAAAACAAACAGCATAGTAATGGATGGTGGAAAAAGGAGAACAAGTCAGACAAAAACAAATCAATCAGGAAAAAAACACGAGCCCTTCTTTGGAATGTGAGGGCGAGGCTGCGAGGACAAGCCTTTAAACCATTCGTGTACCTTTCTCTAATGGCTGAAGAATGTGAGAACAGTAAAAATCCACATGTGAATGTTGTTGTAAAACAACAACATACCTGCTCATGATGCACTCAAAACGTGGAAATTATGAGGAAATTTGTGAGTTTCCTCCTCATTTTAATTGACACACACTCCATCGGTATCAGGAGCTCACCACCTCCTCCATTAACGTCCCAACAGGAAGGCCATTGATCTCCAAGATCCTGTCTCCAACATGGATGGCGTTTCGCACCTCTGGACTGATCAGCATCCCTCTCACCCTGGAGCAAAACAAGAATATCAAAGTGAGTGCTGGTACTGGGTTAGGTCAGCAAAACTGTCTGTAAAACAATCTGAGACAAATACCTGAAAAAAAAAAAAAAAAAAAGAATCACAATATCAAACAACTTTTTTCTTTTATTTGTTGTAGTGACTTACTTTCAAATAAAAACCTGCAGTTCACCAAACCTATAATTAGTCTTGCATCAAGCATGACTCATCCTGTAATCACACATCAGTGAGGCATCAGCCGCCGACTCATCCCACTTACTCTTTGACTTGAACGCTCGCCGAGCCGTTGACGTCTCTGAGCACCGACACAGAGAAGCCCCTTTTACCGTTCGCCGCAGACGGCATTGAGACGAGGGTCACTGTGTGAGGCAGGGAGTCCAAGATGGAGTCGTGTGAACATTTTTCCAGCATGGGTGTAAGGACCACCTGCTTGTAGCACTTTCCACTGCACACAACAAGCAAGAAAACAATAAAACACAAGATCGTACAGGACTATTGATTCATTATTATGAATTTAACTGATCTACAAAAAGAACAAATCTAGTAGTAAAAGATAAACTAGAAATGAAAAACTTGTAAATGGTAAATGGACTGTACTTATATATCACCTTTCTATCTTCTCAAGATACTCAAAGCTCTTTACACTACAATCTGTGCCCTCATTCACCCATTCTTACAGCACTCTACTATATACAAAGACTAATCAGTGATTTATCAAATTCATGCACCGATGGGACACACATCAGAGGCAATGAGGGATTCAGTGTCTTGCCCAGGGACACTTCAGCATGTGACTGTTGGTGGAATCAAACCCCCAACTCTTGCATTGAAGGGTGACTGCTCTAAGCACTCAGTCACAGCCTACACAGCTGTAGTAATTAAAGACACATAAAACACAATAGTGAATAAAGTCACTAGTAATTGCATTAATAATTTTACAGCAGCCACAGTTAGGGTTTAACATGAGAGTTTGAAGATAAACTCCAGAAATTATATAAAAATAAAGATCTCTTTGCTTTATTTATGAGATAAAAGTAGTTGTCATAAACAAGGTTGTTGAAGTTATTTGTATTTTTTGTTACTCTGCATTTTATTTGACTTATTAGCAACATTAGAATACTTTAACCAGCAACAGACTGGGTTTTAAGTGACATGTGTGAATGACTCTTCTTCACTCAAACGAGTTTAAAGAAAGTTTACTCACCAGTAGAGTTTTGATCTTTTTACCAAGGCATAGGTATCCCTGTCTTCAATCACCACCTTGCAGCTCAAACACACAAAACACTCGGGGTGATACTTGTGTTCTCCGGCGACCTGGAACCAAAAATGCACCAGATAATCTTCCATTCCGCCAAAAGAAGAAAAAGGTAAGCAGAGAGCGAGAAGCAGCAGCCCTGCTCAGCTGTGTCATGGATCAGAGTGCAGCTCGCCGTCTGTTCTGCTGCGCGGTGACACAGCAGGAACACCTGCTTCACTTTCAGTCTGTCTGGAATCTGCTATGATGTCAGCCGCAGCAGGTCTGAGTCTTACGGCTGTTCTCGCTTTCAAGTTTTTCTCCTCGACACCTCCTGCACACGATTAACCAATTTCCCCTTCCGTAATTCAAGACACACTCCCTCAACATCTGCCTCAACTCATCTCTCTCCCATGCAAGATGAGATAATGCTTCAGTCTGTGAAAAAGAAAAGTGCTTGATCAAACATGTGTTCAACAAAAAGACACGAGTTCAGATTTGATCAAAGTGGTCGTTTGATGGTTTTAAGTGAACAGATTGGGAACAATTAACAAATTACCTGTTTAAATACCTCTTTAGTTTATTGGATTACTTCGCAAGAGCATTATACGTTAATGAACATTAGATAAATGTAACTTAGGGATGCACGATATCGGCGTGGTGTTTGTATCGGCTGATATTAGCGTTAAAGTTCAATATCGGACATCGGCCATTCCATCAAAATAACTCACCGATATAAAAGACGCCGTTTTTGTATGACAACCCAGTGACAAGGACGCCTGCAGCGGCAGCACAACGCGATGACGTCACGCGCGCCTACGTGTGGAAGATTTTTTTCGTTGGTGAGGATGTCGGATTCCGAAGATTTATGGACTACGATGAGCCTCGCTACATCGTCCCCAGTCGGAGATATTTTTCTGACGTAGCCTTACCCGAGTTACAAACCGTCATTGCCGACGTCATTGAGAAGCTAATAGCCGATAGCACTTGGGTGAGTTTTACCACAGACATTTGGACGTCGTGTTAGCCCTGTTAGCATGATTAGTCTTACGGCACAATGGATAGACAAAAACTTTGATCTTAAAAAGTCTGTCCTTCATGCACGAGTGCAGAGGATCCCAAACTGCAGCTAGAAACCCAGAACAAGCCTCCACAAGTGAGACAGCATCACAGGTGACTAATGCTAATAAATAATATTTAACACGTTTCATTTAATACAAGTTAAAGTGCTATGCATATGGCTGTTATTGAATATGTCACCAGCTCTTACAGCTGTTACACAATATTTGTAGCAAATAAATAGCCTTAGAATCTAGCTGTTGTTACGTTTCTTTTTTTTAGCCATCCTATTTGTTAAAAAAAATAAATAAATCTGTATGACTGTATGACTTTTTATAACTGTTTATTTTTGTTGCTGTTGTCCATTGTTTTCATCATTCTTTGTTGAAATCAGGTCTCTCTTGTAAATGAGTCCTCGAGGCTCAATGAGATTTACCTGTCTAAATAAAGGTTGAATGAAAAAATAAGCCTAAATAAGAGGGCTATGTTCTGACAAAGGAAATTATATAAAATATCGGTATCAATTATCGGCCAAATAAGTTTTAACATAACGGATATCGGCCAAAAATCCAATATTGTGAATCTCTAATGTAAATATACTAAAATTACCTCAAATACTATTTTTCATCTGTTGTCATTGGATTATTGCTACAAGTACTCCAAAACAAAACACTTCAGTTTGGAAAAGTTGTAAAAAAGAAAAAACTAGAAAAAAAATTCTGAAGAAATTTAGTAAACTTTGCCTCCAAATCCATTTCACAAACATAAGTATTTGTTCCGTTTGTGAGTCGTTTTTCTTTGTTCGTCTGCTGAATAGTGAAAGATGAGAACTGAAAAAAGCATTTTTGTCTGAACACTCAGGGTTTTATCTGCAACCTTTACGCACTGAAAAGTCTGCTGTTTTTGTAGTATTTTTCCAGCATTTCACATCAGTCAGTCAGTGGGTGGTGGGAAAGGATATTGTTGTTAGAAAATTATGTCAGCAGCCATCACCGCGACATCTCAGAGTCTGTAACTCCTAGCCTCAAAACAAAAAAACAACCACCTACACACCTTGGTTACAACCTGCCCCAGGCTGAAACATTAAGACAGAGCTGGGCAAAAGAAAAAAAACAAGGAGGCTTCATTTTTTGAAAAACAAAAACACCCTTTGAAAGAATTTGATTGAATTGACAAACTGACTACTGAGAACAGAAACTGTTGTGTTCGGGACTTGAACGCCTGGCATGAGCCTGCTCTTCCACTGGACCACACGTTGTTGTTTTTAACTGAGAATCTGTGGTGCCAGTTCTACTCTGCTTCACTGGCTCGTGAAGCTGGACGACAGAACAAAATAGAAGAGGTCATTATGTTTGTTGCTTGGTGGCAAAAAGAAAAACTTCCGTCTGACTGCACGTTAGACAAGTGGCCTTCTTTATTACAGAAAGGCTGCTGCAGCTGAATCTCATGTGTTAACTTGTAGACACTGGAACAAAGCGGGCTGATGATTGTTTTTATGTCTACAGTTACACTTTCTCAACTTGTTTTGTCTTATATGTTTAAAGTTTCTATGTATGGAGGAAGTAGTGTGCCATTTCCTTAATAAAACCCTGCTCTAACACGAGATACTTGATCTCTGAGAAGCCATCGGTGCAGATTGTATTATGACTGTGGGGAACATCAACAGAGCTTCCTCACCACAGGACTCAACATGCTCCAAAACCACCACATGTTCTAGTGTGTTCTCACTGGATCCCGACTGTGGGGAAGTGAACTGTGGAGAACTTCTGTACAAAGAAAGAAAAAAAAAAAACTGGGGCCTCATGGGGAAAACTCTTTCGCTAGAGCCCCTTCTGCTAAATTCAGCAAAAGCCCAAGCATCAGTCTTCTGTCTTTCAATGTTCTCGTTAATAGAGCGGCAAAATCACTTGTGTATTTTTTGTTACTATTCAAAAGGATGAAAGTGTCGTTAGTGTTAAATTAGTAAATTAGGACCGTCAGTGAAAACGTGGCCATTACATAAGTAACAGTCAGATTGTCGTCATAGCCATGATTCAATAATGTAGTCATGAAAATTTGCAGCAAAGAACAAAACGTCTGGAAATCTGAAATTATAGATCATAGCTCATAATAAAATTATCCGTTTTCTTTTCTTCCCATATTTAGTGCACATGCAACCATTTAACTTCAATTTTTACAAGAAAAAAATCATCTGAGGCCTTGAGATCAGATCAAAACTGTTCATAATACAACCCACAAAAGACACCCAATAACTTTCATTTGTTAAAGTAACCAGATATTTTTAGGATTAAAAGGCTCCATCTTGATCATATTTTATGATGACATCACATCTTATCTTTACTTGGATTGTAAATTTCCTTTACAGTATTTTCGCTTGGCGTTATTGTTAGGTTTACTTGAGAAAAATGTTCCAAAGCATTTTATTTTCAACCCTTTTACCACTGTATTTACAGAATTAAGGCAGAGAATGATGGAAAATAAAGCAAGACAACCATTTGGCTGCAGAATGAAAAGAAACTGTCCAGATGACAGGATTTAACTTTTTTTGTGATATTGCTAATCTTTAACGTGCTCTGAAACTATAATTCAGAAGGGCAGATTAGATTATGATTTTACTACTTAGTCACTTTACTTACTTTCTACTTTACTAACTTTACTCACTTTCTTTACTAACTTTACTTACTGTCTTACTTAATTTACTTTCTTTCCTAACTTTACTTGAATTTTTACAAAGTTTACTTACTTTCTTTACTTATTTTCTTAATTAATTTAATTTTCTTTACTAACTTTACTTACTTTCTATACTTAGTTTCTTACTTAATTTACTTTCTTTACTAACTTTCTTACTTAATTTATGTTCTTTACTTACTTTATACACTAACTTTACTTTCTTTCTTTACATACTTTCTTACTAACTTTGCTTACTTTCTTACTTAATTTACTTTCTTTACTAACTTTCTTACTTAATTTACTTTCTTTATTTAC